TGAACGATTTTTAAGTATATAGCTCTGTGGCACTAAGTACATTCACACTGTTGTGCGACCATCACCACCATCCATCTCCAGAACTTTCTCATCTTCCCAAACTGAAGCTCTGTACTTAGGAATTCTACTACTCTAGGTACCTCATATCAGTGGAGTCCTATAGTATTTGTCTTCCTGTGACTGGTTTATTTCCTCGGCCTCACATCCTCAAGGTTCAGTGACTTCAGTGACTTCAGACTGCCACATCTAGCAATTTTTTTTTTTTTTGACTGCTAGGTCTGAAAGCTACAGACTTCAGACCTGTTGCCACACAATGGAAATAGAGTTCCATCGACTTTTTTTCTACCCCGCAACACTGTACAAAGTTTAAGCCCCATCTTATGTCCCTTACTCTATAACATTAATAACGGTTTTACTCCTCTGGTCAAATCCTAACTGATACACAACTGATACGCCTTCATTGGGACTTGAAGTTTTGGCTATAAATTGTCCTTCTCCCATGTTCTTCGGCCTGTTCTACTTTGATATTATGATCACAGCTCCTCCTTTTTTTAGATTTTGGTTTTCTTTCCTTTTTTTTTTTTTAAGATTTATTTATTTATTTTGAGGGAGGAGAGGCAGAGGGAGAGAATCTCAAGCAGACTCCATGCTGAGCACAGAGCCCCACTTGAGGCTCCATCTCAGGACCCTGAGTCATGACCTGAGCCTGAAATAAGAGTCCAATGCTCAAGTGACTGAGCCATCCAGGTGCCCTCGATTTGGGTATTCTTTTATAAACAGATTTGAAAATCTTTTTTTTTTTAAGATTTATTTTTTTGAGAGAGAGAATGAGCAGAGGGAGGAGCAGAGGGAAGGGGAGAGAGAATCCTCAAGCAGACTTCCTGCTGACTGCATAGCTTGACTGGGGCCTCAATCCCAGGATCCTGAGATCATGACCTGAGCTGAAATCAAGTCAGACGCTCAACTGACTGAGCCACCCAGGTGCCCCTTGAAAATCTTTTAATAGGCAAATTAAGCCCTTTTGTAAATGATATCGTGATATGGTTTGACCTCAGCTCTGTCATATTATTTTCTTTTACAATTGCTACGTGTGTTATGATATACTTACTGTTTGTTTTTTTTTTTTTTCTCCCACTATCTGGTATGTATTCTTTGCTGTTTTAAAATTTTTTCTCCTGGGTTTTAGAACAAGGTTTCTGATATCTAGGAATATGTATATTTTGCTTTGTGGTCAAGTTTTATATTTTTATGTTACCCTTAGTTCCTTCCTTTGTTTCTTAACCTTTTAACATCTGGGTGTGCATTTTATATGGTCTCCTTTGACTTCCACCTATTGCCTTTTTATAGTCAATGATATGATTCGGTTTTCTCTTTTCTCTCTCCTTTCTCCTTCAATTGCTTTTAGCTGTTGGTGTTTTACTTTACCAGAAATTATAATGTTTACATACTATTCTTCCACCAATTAAATATATAAATTGCTCTCTATCAGTCATTTTGCTGGCTTTCCTCTGTTTTCTCTTGGATGGGGGAAGCCCACTCTCCAGGAAAGGCATATAATGGTCTCTGAATTTTTGCACTCAGTTCCTTTCTGTTTGTTTATAGCACAAAAATCCTTGGCTGGTATTTGCTCACATTGAGTTTCTTGTAAATGCTGCTCCATTGTTGCCTTGCTTTGTAGGCTCTTCTTAGGAAGTCTGACGCCAGCCTAAATTTGTGATCTCTATAAGTAATTTGATCTTGATGCTTTTAAAAGCCAATAGTTTTACTAAGATATGTTTTGGAGTTGATTATTCCAGAACAGTTTTTCAGGGTACTTGGAAGTTACTTTTGATATACAATTTAAATTTTTTCTTATTTTTGAATTCTTTTCTGGTATTACAGGTTTCCCCCAGTTTTAATTTTATAATTGACCTAACTGTATAAGCACCGTATAAGTTGTACAGCATAATGACTTGACTAACATATATTGCGAAATGAGGAGCACAATAAAGTTGACATCCATCACCTCATAGATACAGAAAGAAAAAAAAGTGTTGTTTTCCTTGTAATGAGAACTCTCAGGACCTACTCTCTTAATAACTTTCAAATGTGCCTTACAGCATTATCCATCATGATGTAGTTATGTTGAATATTACATCTGAGATTACAGTTTCTTTTTTTGTTTTTTTTTTTTGTTGTTGTTTTCTTTTTTTAAAGATTTTATTTATTTATTTGAGAGAGAGAGAATGAGAGATAGAGAGCACGAGAGGGAAGAGGGTCAGAGGGAGAAGCAGACTCCCTGCTGAGCAGGGAGCCCGATGTGGGACTCGATCCCGGGACTCCAGGATCATGACCTGAGCCAAAGGCAGTCGCTTAACCAACTGAGCCACCCAGGTGCCCTGTTGTTGTTTTCTACTTCACTGGTGTTTCCACGTTGAGGACTCTAGTTCTATGTAGTTTGGTTCTTTCCTTTCATTTCAACCACTTCTCTTTGAACACTTTTTGCTTCTTTCTTTATCTTATTTTCAATTTCTTGATTATTTTCTTGCCTTTCTTCAGTGTCCTTTTACATATTTTTTTTTTCCATTGAGGCCTTTTATTTGCAAGTATGTATTACATCCCTAGAAAAAGAATCCCAGGATTTTCTCTCCTGTGTGTTTTTGTCTTGCTTGTTCATGGTCCATGATGCCAGCTGAGGTTGTCAGTACAATGAAACCAAACTGGCGGGATGGGAGAAAGTTATTCTGCCATTTTTCTAGATCTTTCAGTTGTACATCAAATCTGGGGCTGATCACTCCACACTTGTTTAACCTGCCCATGAGGTTCACAACAATTTTCCCTGCTCTGTGATCATCAATGATTTTAATTTCGCCAATGTGGCCATACTTCATCATCACAGTGAGAAACAGGACAATGACTTTGGAGCACGGCCTAATAAGAACCTGGCGTTTGCCTCTCTTCTCAGCATTGTTAATGCTCTTGAGAGCATCTGCCAGGACATTCATATGCACCATTATGGCAGCACGGAAAGATGGCAGAAAGAATCTTTTTACATATTTTTATTTGACTATATTCTCCCATGGGCATTTTATAATTATTCTTTGTTTCTCAGAGAGTACCAATTTCTTTCCTGAATTTGATCAACTTTTGTTACATTTCTTCCTAATTTTTGTCTAGTCTGTTCTTAGTTTTTGATTTCTGATTGCAGTTGTCTATATGTATGCATATATATATGTCTGCGTGTGCACACAGGTCCACATACATGATGTTTTGGTCAGTTAGGTAGTTTGATCTGTGGTGTTACAATTTCTCCTGCTTCCTGGTTTTATGTGTGTGTGTGTGTGTGTGTATTTTCATCGGCTGAAAATGTTAGGATTCATTTTTTTTCATCATAAGAAATGTGATTCCTTTTTTGTTTTCTTTTTATGGTAGCTTTGTATGCAGTCAATCTGATGTTATTCTGTTAGTAGGAATTTTGACACAGGGTTCCCACTTCAAGAATGTTCTCTTCTATCTGTAGAGTGAAGTGAAGTTTTTAATAGATAATGGTGTCTGGGGGAGGGACTGACTGTCCTTTATTTCTGTAGGATCTTTTATTTGCCCTTTTTACTTCCTTCTTTCCCTTCACTACCAGGCCTCCAAAGGGCATTACCCTTTCTTTATTTGTTTGACTTTTCCCAGAAGCAAGGCTTCTTCAAGGCTGCCACCTCCTGTCCCATTCTCTTTCAAACCTCTTCCCTGTTAAGTACCCGACCTGTGTTCAGTTTTAGTTCTTGGTGTTGGACTTTCTCTTTGTAGAGGCTTTAAGCCCGGACTTCACTTAAGTCCTTGGCAACAGCTGAGGGAGCTCTGCTGGAATTTGATGTCTTTTCTTTCTTCTACTTACGAAGTAATTAGAAGTTCAGTTCACAGCATTGGCATTCCCTCTCCTAGCGGGGCTGACGGCTTGTTGGTGTTTGTATTTTGCTGAAGATGTGAGTAGGGATTGAGATTCAGACAGCTGCCATTATCCTCCAGACTGGGAAGCTCCTGAAATCACTTTTGAAATACCAAGTGCCAACTAACATTTCTTTCTTTCCTAGGAGTACGGGAAACTTTGCGTGTGGCAAGGGCATCGTCAAGGTTACACAGATTCTGTTACGAGACAGATGTGTCTTCCTGAGATGTTTATGTGTTAACTCTTCTTTTAAGAAAGCAACAAATTAAAAGGAAAAGATTGAAAAAAAATATTGCGTCCCTTCTTCCTCTTTCATGTTTATTAAAAACAAAATAAAACAAAAGAATCCTGCTATTCAGGGCTGCCCATTCTCGGAAAAATATTCGCTTGACCTCTCTTATTCTACCTGTGGGCCCCCACCTCTGACTAAATAATTACATAAAATTGACAGCTGGGGATCAGGGATGTTTTGCTGCAAGATTAGTAAGAAAACTGCAGAAGTCGGGTCCAGGAAGCGGGTTTGCACCAAAACACTCAGGTGGGCCGGCCAGTAAGAGCGAGGCCGTTAAGGGTCTGAGGCGGTCCCCAACACCCGAGACCCAAGAGGTGACAGCCTCGGCGGCGCGGCCCCAGGCAGCAGGGACCGCCAGGGTCCCGGGTGCATGTGCGCGTGTGTGTGCGCGCGCTCCGCGCGGTCCCGGGCAGCCACCTGTCACTCACGGGGGCGGAGGGGCAGCGGCGGGGAGGACGCAGAGGGGGCGGGGAGGCCCTCCCGGCGGAACCCCCCGCCCCCGCCAGCCCCCCGCTTGCTGCCGCCATGGAGACGCGGTAATCCCCTCCTCCGGCCCGCGCCCCGGCCCCCGCAGCCGCCGCCGATTGGTCGCCCTTTGCTCCCTGACCCGCTCGCCTCCTCCGAGGCCGCCGCTTCCTGCTCCGGCGCCGCGCCGCGCTCCCGGCCCGGGGCGGAGCTCGCGCGCCAGGCGCGCGCCGCCTTCGCCGCCGCCGAGCTGCAGCCCGCGCCGGAGGAGGAGCCGCCGCCGCGCCCTTCCCCTTCCTCCGCTCCTCCCCCGGCCCAGCTCCCCGCCCGCGCGGGCCCCAGGCAGCACTCGCGAGCAGCGGCGGCCGCGGCCGGCGGCCGAGAGGAGAGAATGCGGCGGCGCTCGCGGATGCTGCTCTGCTTCGCCTTCCTGTGGGTGCTGGGCATCGCCTACTACATGTACTCGGGGGGCGGCTCCGCGCTGGCCGCGGGCGCGGGCGGCGGCGCCGGCAGGAAGGTGAGTGGGGCGCCCTGCCCGGGCCCGGCCACCCCCCTCCCCTCGAGCGCCGGACTCCCCTTCCTCCCGCCGGCCCCTCCCGCGCCGACGCGCCCCCCGGTCTGCCCGGCTGCAGACCGCCTGCTCGGACGTGGCCGGCCGGGCACCGAGGGGGGCTCCCGCCCTCCTGCTCCTCTGCCCGGACCTCGGCTCGGGCCCCCGCTCCCCTCCCCGGGCCTCCCAGCCGATTCCCCAGGGCACGGGGCGCACCCGGCCCCTCTGCGCTCGCCGGGCTCGGGAGAGGGCGACCCGGCGCAGCCCCGCAGAGCTGGGGACCCCGGACGCCTTTCTCGGTCGCCGTAGACGTCCCCCTCCGTAGACGTCCCCCTGTGTCTGCTCCACGTAATTGAAGTTGAGTCTTGTCCGGCCGCCGGGAGCCCCATCCCCTGCGGTGGGAAGTTTAGCGGTGGGGGTGTTGGGACACACAAAAGGGGGTGGGAGGCGTGGAGGGAGAGGCGGCTGCCTTTCCAAAGTGTCATGTACAGGAGAGAGGAGTCCAAGTTTCTTTTCAGCCCTTTGATACAAGCCGCTGCAAATCCCCACCCCTTTCCCTCTTGTCACCGCGCGGCCGGGGATGGTGGTCGGGGGCGCAGCTCGGGGTCTCTGCGCCTTTCTCCCTCTGCCCATTACCTCTGGCGGGGGAGGGGGATGCAGCCAGCCCCGCGCCGGATAGAACGGACTCCCTGGGCGGGTGTAAGCGGAGGGCCAGCGCGCCTCTGCGCCCCGAGTGAGGCCGGCCACGGACATCCCGCCACCCCCCCCCCCGACCTTCCCCTCTCCGCCCCGGCTTTACGCTCTAGCCGCTCGGCCCACGCCGCCCCCGCCGCCCGGCGGTGGCCCCCTGCGCGTTCCTTCCCCTGCCCCGCTGCCCGGTTACGCGGGGATGGTCCCTGTGCTATGGGTGTGCTTTGAGCAGGCTCCCAAGGGCCGAGTGGGTAGGCCGTGGGGACCGTGTGAGCCACCTGGACCGCCCGGCGTATTCGGGAGGAAATCGAGCGGCCAGAGACGCCCCGACGGCGGGGTTCTGCGGCCGTCGCCCGCTGGGAGCGGAGGGCTTTGGCTGTGCACATGCCGCCGGCGGGGTTGTGCTGTTTGGTGGGGAAGAGGCTTTGAAAGCGGCGTTATCTTTTCCAAAATCCTGTAACTCTCATTACTGTGACGTTTAGTGTCACCGCAAACCCAGGAAATTCTGAGTTAATGGAGGTGGACCACGGGTTGGGCTGGAACTAGGGAATGATATTCTGGAACAAGGCAAACGGGACTGACTGTATATGAACAGACTTTTTAGCCTTAAAGTCAGACACCGGTGAAGTCAACGCTGAGGTTTGGCTGCTCCAGAGGCTGCTTCAGAGGGTTCCCTCCTGGTTTGTTTCTTTCTCCCATTCATTCATTCATTCATTCATTCTCACCTGAAGGTAGTAGATGGAGGTAGTAGGTATCTTGTTTGAGTCTTGAGAAATTGCATGGGTTTGCTTTATCTGGAGGGGGCAGAAATGAAAAGTCTCTCCATGTGCTGAATTGGCCTAGCTTAGTTCTGAGCCAACAGTGCTCTTCGCCCAATTTTTTCATGCAGGGAACTGCTGTATATGTACCTGAAGTCTCTTGTTTATTCACCCGGTAGGAGCAGTGCAGCCCTTTGAAAACTACACTCATGTTAAACTGGAATTATTTTCAAAACTTTGCTTTGCAGTTAAATGGGCCTTGGCAGGCCCACATGGCCTGGTGTGCCGGTAGGACCTGGCAAAGCCTCTGCCTTTCATGCAAAAGAAAAACAAACAAATAAGCCATACTGGTATTTCTCTTTCCTTGGTTTGGCACTTTCATTAGTACATGTGTTTAGAAATAGCACAGTGTGGCCTTAGCATCCAGAGAGGCTGATTTCTCCCTGGTGGGCTTCATTCAGCTGCTGGGTTTTGACGGGCCCTCTGTGTTGACCTCTGAAGTGGTATCCTTAATTTAAAAAAAAAAAAAAAATCCAAGAACTCTTCTTGACCTAGTGGCAATAGGGAGGTACAGGGATCAGGTAGGAAAAAAATGTGTGGAAAATGAACAATTATACATGGATTGGTGATTTGGGATTCTATTCTTTCTGTGAATGAACCATAAAATTTAATCCTAGCTCTTAGAATGGTTTAGTGATTTGTCAGTTGGGGAAGAGGTGTGTAAATGCAATAGCTTTTGAAATCGCAGTAAAAGACTCATTAACTTAGTGTTGTGGACCCTGGTATAAAAGTCGAAACCGTGAGACTATTCTGGAGGGCCTGAATAGAACCCCGCTGTCCTGAATTGCTGAATCTAGAGTATAGAACTGCATAGTTTTCCTTCCTCCTGAAGTGTTTCCATGGATTTCAGGACTAAAGAGTCTTCAAATTTAGTTCATCCTTATGATAAAAGAAAATATGTAGTTGATCACGTGGTATGCAAGTAAAGGCAGAATTTAAATACTAGTGATAGTTTTTTAGATGCAAGTGGAATTAATGTTTCTTCTCTTGTTTCATACTATGCTATAGTAAGTCAGGGCTGTCATTCCGTATTTAGCCAATTTCTCTCTGCCCCGGCATTTTTCACAGGGTACCAGGCTTCAGTATTAGGCTTTGGGGGATTGTCTGATGGGAACGTGCATGGTGTTTCTGCTGCTTCAGCACCTCTGCCCAGGCTTGTCACTGTGCGCCCTGCCTGTTAAATAACTCATCTCAGGAGTGTTATTCTCCATTTGCCAAAACCCAGAAAGCCAACTCACCTCAGATTGCAGATCTAATAAAGTGAATAGGAGCAGGTGCTCAAAAGCAATTGGGGCATTGCCACACCATTTGGGACTCAGTGCTGGGGTTCAGGGTGTACGGTCAATCAGTTTATGCATAATATTGTTTAAAATTATTTCATTTGTATAGATCTCTTCGCACCTCCTGTAGTTTGCTCTTTCCCCCTAAATTAAAGATTTGCACTCTGAGAATGCCTTTCCTTTAAGCCTCTTAAATACTTTAAAATTTTAATCATGTTAAGTCTTCCCCAGGCCTTGGCAAGTTGGCGGTGGATGGAGCTGTAAAGGAGAGAAGGGATTTCTGTTGTAGTGAACCTGCCTCTGGGTAAAGTGTGGCTGTTGAGGCTGGAAAGGGAAGGGTTTCCCAGTATGTGAAGAATGATCGCTCCTGAAAGAGAGTGTGTCCAGCCTACGACTCCTTGTCTGTGCTGCTCACATCCTTGGGAGGTAAGAGAAAGTGTTAGCTGAAGGACATGGCCAAGGGCCTGGGCAGCCTGTTTACTTTCCACCACCCTTCCTTGATGAGCAGGCACAGTGCTGCAGCCCTTGCTCTGGGGGTTCAAGGGTGGAGGACTTTGGGGGTGATCTTGTAAGAGGCATTTGGGGGAGGAGGGAGTGATGAGGGGCCCCACTTGGCTGGAGCATGGGACATGTGTAGGTGAACAGTAGGGTTTGAAATTGGAGAAGGATTTGGGGACTAGGCTGTAGAGAGAGGGCTCCGCACACCAAGCTGACTTGTTGGTTCTTAATTTGGTCGATCCTAAGGAAGCAGTCATGTGTTTTGAGCTGGGTAGTGGACTTTCACGGGAAGAGGAATAGCATGAATCCATTTATTGGTACTGAGTGACCTTAGCTCTCTACCCCCTTGGTGACCTTTACTAATTAACTGAACTCTGACCCTCAGTTTCTCAGCTTCACAGTGGGGATCATCATATTCACCTTGGGGCAGCAAGCTAAATGCCATTAGTAGGTGTTGAGGAATAGTAGACACCAAATAAATGGTTTTGAGGATTGGGGGGCATAAAGAAAAAGTAAAAAGCCGAAATACTCCTTGAAAATATATTGAACCAGGAATCTGCAGTGTCTTCTTACTCTCTGGAAAATCGTTGTTTTTATTTTTTCTTTTATCCTTTATCCATTCCTCTGAGATTGATTTGTTTGGTGTATTTGCGTGTGTACTAAAGAACCTTGAATGACATTAAGGACTGCCTTTTGGGGAAGTGGTCCAGACATGCCAGCTCTCTGGTACCCAGCTGTGGTTGTCGGAGTGGGGTTTCCACCTGTGGGCAGCCAGCAGGAAAGCTTGGGTGGAGGACACACCTTTCTCTGGTGGTGGTATGAACAGTGGGAGTGGCTCTGTGTATGTGGCCCTAAGTGGAGATTTCTTGTGGCAAGGAAGCCGGCCCGCTCCACTCCCCACTAGGACCTGGACTGCCCTACTCTGCCTCTGCAGCCTTGCTTCTCCAGGCAGGAGGGGAGAGGCTGTGACTGCTCCTCCTGTGACAGGTTTGAGGTGGGACATGAAGCCGTCACGGGCCTTGATGGGTGTCAGTGGAGTCTGTGGGTGGACGCGCAGGAGGGGACCCATACTATACCTCGCCACCTGCAATCAGTTTGGAGTTTAAGGAAATTCCATTTGAGATGAGAGTTTGAAGCGGGGGTAGGGAGGGCAGTAGTGGGGGGTGGGGGGTACTATAGCCAGAGAGTCTGACAAATGGCACTGTAATAGAAACTTTTCTCCAAGGAAAATCAAGTTTCCCTGTTCCCGAGTTATGTTGTGGCTGCCTTGGGTGCTCAAACATAATGGAAACAGATTGTGACTGATAAACAGTGCCAGAGCAGTGAGCGCTTCCCTTAACCTTCTAGCAAACACGAGAAAGCTGCTGTACCCAGTACAAAGTAGGGTCAGCTTGCTCGGGCTCTCAGACCTTGAGGTAGGGTTGGGGAGACCCAACCGGTAAAGTTGTGTGTGGACTTCAGGCCCTCTGTCAGTCTCTCCACCGTACCTCCTCGTGCGTGGTGGGTTTCCTCTTTGCAACAGAGGAAGCGGTAATCGAGAGGTGGTCAGGAAAATGATTGGGCATGCACACATTTGTATCTATATATACATATAATATCTTGTTTCTGCCATTCATGTTTTTCAGATCTTTGGGGAGCGGGAAGTTAAGTTTGGGAAAGATGTCGATTTCAAAGCAGGCAA